GGGGGGTCACAGGGGTCAGGGGGGGTCACAGGGGCACCCAGGGGCACCCACCCCCCCAAACATGGACATCCTGGGGGGGCACAGGGGTCAGGGGGGGTCACAGGGGTCAGGGGGGGTCACAGGGGCACCCAGGGGCACCCACCCCCCCAAACATGGACATCCTGGGGGTCAGGGGGGGTCACAGGGGTCAGGGGTGTCAGGAGGGGTCACAGAGACCCCTAGACACACCCACCCCCTATACAGGGACATCCTGGGGGGCACAGGGGTCGGGGGGGTCACAGGGATCAGGGGAGGTCAGAGGGACACCCACCCCCCAAACATGGACATCCAGGGGGGGGCCCTATATTGATTAAGAAATTAAAATAACCGGGGATTTCCCCCTCCCCAGGACCCCCCAAACCCCCTTCTGTGGTGACAGGGACACCCAGGGGCCCCCATGTCCCCCTCCCAGAGCAAGGAGGGGTGTCAGGGAGGTGTTTTTTTGGGGGGGGGGTCACCCCCAGACTCACTTGTTGCCGATGGTGGTGGCCGAGTGGAGGCTGCGGGGCAGGGGGGCCACCCCGCTCAGGCTCGGCTTGTTCCACGTCAGCGTCTCTGGGGGACCCCAAAAAACACCCACAGCGTGAGAAAAGGGCCCTCAAACCGCCCAAAACGGGAAGAAATGACCCCAAAACCACCCAAAATGTAAAGAAACGGCCTCAAAACTACACAAAATGTGAAGAAACGGCCCCCAAACCACCTAAAATAGAAAGAAATGGCCTCAAAACTACATAAAATGTGAAGAAACGGCCCCCAAACCACCTAAAATAGAAAGAAACGGCCTCAAAACTACATAAAACGTGAAGAAAGGGCCCCAAAACCACCCAAAATGGGAAGAAATGACCCCAAAACCAGCAAGTATGGAAAGAAATGTCCCCGAAACCCCAAAAAATGTAAAGAAACGGCCTCTAAAACCAACCAAAAAGGGAAGAAACGGCCCCAAAACCACACAAAATGGGAATGGGACCGAAACCACCAAAAATGCGAAAAATAGGCTCAAAACCACTGAAAATGGGAAGAAACGGCCCTGAAACCACTTAAAGTGAGAAAAGACAGCCTCAAAACGACACAAAAAACAAAGACGTGGACCCAAGATCATCCAAAATGACAAGAAACAGCCCCAAAACCACCTACAACGTGCTCGTCCCTCTCTGTGCACACCACGGACCCCCCTGAGCCCCCCCCAGTGTCCCCGAGTGCCCCCTG